GCATTCTTAATCGTAGAGGGATGCTTATATTTCTGTTGCAGAAGAATTTTCTCATCTTTATGAAGGTGGCCCTGGCAATTTCGATACGTCTTTTTATTTCACTGTTTTGGTCTCCAGTTTCGTTTATTAAAGCTCCCAAGTATTTGTAAATTGATACTTTTTCAACTTGAGTGCCGTTTATACTAATATACGCTGGTTGTGTCATGTTTTTACTGAAGACCATATACTTGGTTTTTTTAATATTGATATTTATACCATAATTGTTGCAAGCAATATTTATGTCTCTAAGTAATCTTTGTAATTCTTCGACTGTTCTTGCAACTAGTACAGTGTCGTCCGCGTAGTCTACTAAAGTAAACTAGTCACTCCTAAAAAAGTGCCCAAAGAACTAAAGCTAATATCAATCTCAGGAAAACACCTGGGCTTCATTTAATTACTAGGGAACTCTTAAAACAACTACCTAGAAACATACATGAAAAACGAATTCTTTAATACGTCAAAGATAAGAGTATTCGGCTCCTTAATAATACAGATCTGGCTAGAAGACTTAAACAGATGAAGACTCTTTGAGTTAGTTAAGGAAAAAGCAGTGATGGTACAGGTTAATATTTGTAGGTACAATAAATTACCGGCATCTAGTAGTTTGTCCCGGATCTTAATTTTTTAGTAATCATTAAGGCTAAAAAAAGTTGTTCATTGATTATGTTGTTTAATCAGCTTATAAGGTGGTATTGGCATTGAAAATAAAAACATGAAGCTAATGTATAATCTATCTGATCATTTATATTTCTGTCTGGGTGTCTTAGTTTTTTTTATGTTTTTCTTTTATAATTGTTCAAATTTGATTGGGATTTTAAGATTCATTATTTTTCTTAAATAATTATTTTCCAACCATCATTTGTTTTTAGTTGTAGTGTGTGGTACCATTTCTATTTCGTACTGCTCTTCTGTGTCGTTTCTTACGTATTTCAACATGTAGGTACTTTTTCATAGTTTTTATTTTGTACCCCACTTTCTATAATAAAATGTAAAAGTTTTTTGCTCTTTTTCTATTTCAACCTTGTTTGGTGCTTTTCCATTTATTGATGTAAGGGGTTTGCTTACTTTTAATTTTGTACTTGCTTTTTTTATTTATTAAGTTAAATTTATTATTTTTTCTTTAGTACTGCCAAAGGTGACGTGATAACTACTCCCTGTTTTTATCTTTATTGTTGATATTATTAGTAGATGTCTTGAAAGGTTACATTTATATTACATTTTTGAGAGGACCAAATTGTATTTTTTTTGTATGTGGAGGTGAATATTATAAGCCCTAGCAAAAGTTCATAAGGCATATTAGTATAACTACAAGCTTGTGGGGTTGTCACCCTTGTCCCCCAGCTGCCATTTTGAAATAAGGGGTGCAAAGTGTTTTAAATAAATAGTCCACAATTTTATTCCTATTACTTCTATTCATGAAATGAAAAATAAAAGTTATAAACAAAAGTAACTTAAAACTTTTAAACAAATTTCCTTTGGTCCTTATAACTTTTTTCTGGTCATTTTACAATAAAATGAGAGAGAATCGATTTTCTCTCCTGCTACTGACAAAGAATGTAGTGCGTAGAATCTTTTTAAATAATTTTAAACTGTTTGTACTTATTTTACTGTAGTGTTTTGTAAAATTTTATGTTAACATTTATGTTTATTACATTGTACATGCTGAATAGCCCATATTTGACGAAATGCCCCTGAAGATGCTATTTTAAGCGAAAGTACTTGGGCAAGATTAGAATAAACTTGTGTTTGATAATTGCCTTAATTTTCAAAGTTTATAATGTTTTGTCTCTGGTCGAGAATGTAAAGAACGTGGTTGTGATATCTGATGATGATTACGTTAATGATGGTGTTATTGTTCTACCTGAACACGTTATTCCTTCGATATTATCAATATCATACCTAGGATTATTTGGTACATAACTTATATTTCTTTCGTCCAGTTCTTGTAAAAGTTTTTGTAAATCATCGCACTGGTACTGGTTATAGTTAAGTCCTACCTTTTGTAAACTAGGATAGGAATTACTAACTAGATCAAACCTTAGTCTTATGTCAGTATTATCCATTAAGTATGTTTCCAAGTTTGGAAGTGCTCCTAAATAAGTTAGGTCCACGTGTTTGCCCAAATTTGGGTTATCGGAGATATTTAAAAGTTGCAATTTATTTTTAGTACTAAGTTCATATACATCTATTAAACTATTGCCATCTGCTCTTAGTTCCGTAATATTTGGGCAATTAGATGGAGGGCGGATTTCTGATAACATATTTTGGTTAATATGTAAAATCCGTAAGTTTGGAAATGACTCAACAATCAAATAAGGTATATCAGTTAACATATTGTTAGATAAAATCAAGGTTTCCAAGTTTTCGTTCACTATCGTATTGGATACACTCAAATTTTTTAGTTGACAATCACCTAGATTAAAAGTTTTTAAGTAAGGTAGACTACTAGTTATAGATAGTATATCTATAGTTTCGAAAGCATTGTTTGATAAATCTAATAGAGATAGATTAAGATTCCTTAAAAGTGTTAGATCCAACTTATCAATCTGATTGTTATTTAAAAATAATTTTTGTAAGTTGTTTAGCCCAAAAAAAGCATCTTTTTTGATTTTCGACAACTTACCATTTGATATATGTAGAGATTTTAGACGATATAAATCATTGAACATATTGTCTTCGAGAACGTCTATATCGTTGAAGAAAATTGATGCATTTAAATCCAACAAGTGAAATAAACCAGTAAAAACTTTGGAACCTGCAGATTTTACAGTTGTGTTTTCAAAGTGTATATATTCTAATTTATATGAACCCAATAGAAAATTATCCGATATATGCAAAATAGTAGAATCCAAGATATGTAAATTCTTCAAGTTGATGCTTACAACAAATCGTTCTTCTAATATTTCTTGGTAATCGGTTTGTAGGAACAAGTTAGTAATGTGAACGGATGAAACAAAATGCACTGGATCAGATATTTTACCTAAATATAATGTTTGAGTCTTAATATTGGAAAAAACATTATCGATGGCAGTGAAATCATTATTCCTTAAGTCAATGATATTTAAGTTTAAAAGATTTTTAAAGGCTCCGGGCATAATTTTGACAATTCCTATTTCAGAAAGTTGTAGTTCTTTAAGTTTACTTAGGTCTTGAAAAGCACCACTGTAAATAGTTAGGTTATGAATTTCATAAAAATGATTCCTAGAAAATAAGATTTCCTTAAGGGAATCTAAGTTGGAGATGGCGTTTTCCTTGATAGATTCTAAATTGTTTTGAGATATATCTAGAACTATTAAATTTTGCAGGTTATAGAAAGTATCTGATTCTACGGCAATTATTTTGTTATTGCTTAGATTAATTGATTCTACATTTCGCAATGATTTAAAACTATCAGATGCAACATACTCTATAAGGCACTGTGACATATTTATGTATCTTAAATTAATACAATTTCGAAATGTATATGACTTAACTTCTGTTAGACTATTTGACGACATATCTAGAGAATACATGTCATTTAAATCAATACCTCCACCGCAAACACTGCTTTTTAAATAATTTCCTGTTACATTTATTTCAGCTATATGATTATAATATTCAAAAACTTCGGAATTAATATATTTTAATTCAGAAAATGAAAGATTTATTTTTTTAAATCGTGCTGACCCTAATATAGGGTTATTTAAATTAGAGAGGTTATTGAAACTAAGATTTAGATCAAAACAGTCTGACGTAATAATATATTCAAAAAAATCTTTTTCAATTGTCGTTAGATTGGTATTAGAAAAATCTATTACAGTATGATTACTTTTACAGGATATTTTAAGATTTAAATTTTCAGTTGATAAAGAATTTAAATTTGTATTAGAAATTGTAAACAAATCAACTACATTAAGGTAATGGTAAGGTAAAAAGTCTGTAAACATTTTTTGTACCGTCAACTCATCAACAAAACTTTGAACATTACATCCTAAAATGTATAGAATATTTTTTTCTAAAAGAGAAACGTTAGTTAAATAGGTATTATAACTTAGGTCAAGAGACTTTCCCACGAAATCCCGATCAGTCGAAGACTCAGTGTATTCGGTAAGATTATTATAACTTAAATCTAGGTAATCTAAAACTACTTGTCTTTTGCTTATATCAATAATAGAAATATGATTGTGACTTAAATTTACTGTCTGAACAGAAACTGATAAATCAGCGCAAAACGTAACATTTTCTATGTAATTTTCACTTAAATCAAGATTTACCAACTGATTAAACACGTTGAAGAGGCTGTCAGATATACTTTTTATAGATGATCGGCGGATGGCTAAATCTGTTACAGTTATATTTGGAAATAAATCACTTAAATTAGGGAAGTCAGCAATGGTCTCAAAATAAGAGTCCTCAATTATTATCGTATTTACATAATTACTTGATAAATATTCTTCTTGTCTAAATATTTCGTATAAAAACTCGTCCTGATTTACTTTGCTGCAGTAAAACGTATGGCCACTGAACGAACAAGATCCACAAATTCCTTCGTTTGGATATAACATCAACATCAGAGCTATCAGCAACATATCTTAAAAAAATATATTTAGTTAATATTTATATAGTAGGTAGTTATTTTTAGTACCTTCTATATAATATACTTTTAGACGTGGAAGGATAGCAACATAGTCAAAAATTAGATTATTTGAAGTCCTGAAATGCACACGATCCAATATCCATATTTATCAATTTCATTTTATTCCTGCAAAATAATCTATGTCCTGACGCCAATGCACTGCTGAAAGATCTAAGTGCCTAACCCCCTCCAAACGGTTTAAAGAAATTCCAACGGAATGTGCTGTGCGCAAGTCCCAGAGCAATGGAAGTGCTAGTTCATCTATGTGCCAGATGTCAACCAACCATTTTGTTGATGTACATCAGTGCGTTTCTCCACGGTTAGTAATTGTGTACATGTTTAAAAGATGTGTATTTCTACAGATATTAATAATAGTAGAGCCTTTTGTGATGGATCTGAAATTAGTAGGAACTTCAGGAAGAAACTGAAAATCGCCAGATTAAGTGATAAATCCTATGTTACCCTAAAGAAAAATAAACAAAAAGACAGAAATCCCAGCAAACCACTGCCGTGTGAAGAGGTAAGTATAATGTTTATCTACAAAATTTTGTAATTTATGTCATTCTGCTATTTATGTACATGTGTGATTGTTGACGACAATTTTATTTATCTTAAAAGCTTCCTATTAGAATCAAATGAATAGATTTTGGTTACCGGTATCACTATTCGATTTATATTTTACACATTACCGTACAAAAGATATACCGTAACTCATTTCTTTCATTTTTTAGGTAATTTGCAAGTGTAAAGTCAGTCACAATGCAATCAGGTTTCCTTTGAAATGAAGAGAAAACTGTTTAAGTCCTATCACCAACTTGGATTGAATGAGCAAGGTTCTTATTTGATGAGTTTGATAGACATTCTTCCTATTACCAGACAGCGACACGGTTCTTTCACTTTAAGTTACAGGGTACCTGATGGGGAAGGGAGTTCCTTAATGTAAAAAAAAATTTAAAATATTTTTGGAGTTTCACCAAAAATCTCACTTATTGTGAAGAAGAAGAAGTGGTGACGTGGTTTTTAAAGATAATCGTGGTGGCCCGACTAAATTTAAATTTGCGGAGCATTACGGAGGAAACAGATTACAAACCACATTAATTCTTTGCCCCAAAAATAGGGTCCCTACGGCCGTTTAAAATCCCAAAACAAGTACTTAAGCTCCTAATTAAACATGACTAGGCTTTTCGCTGATAGTATTGTAAGTGTCAAATTCTATCGAGAAGTATTTTTGAAAGACTTCCCAAATTTATCGTTCAAAAGATCGAGGGTAGACACTTGTAAAACTTGCGACATCTTCATATTCAGACCAAAAACAGAGATGTCGCTGCAGCAAATAAAGCCAAGACAGAGCTAGAGCTACATCATAGAAAAAGTGAAAAAAACCTTAAGTACATAAAAAAAAGATGCATCTGATATCGCAATGCCTAATAGTGGAGTGTGTTGTGTGGTGATTATCATTCAAACGGTATTTCCTCTTATGAAACTTACACATAGCGGTATATATTATTTAAGGCAATTATATTGCTACAATTTTAATATTCATATTACCGATACCAATGTCGGTATTATGAGTGTATGGCATGAGGACCAATTAAAGAGAGGAGGGAGTCAGATGGCTTCCTGTATATTGCAAGCCTTATACCAATTATATTTATTCGAATTTATTAATTTTTGTTATCCATTCTTACTGTCTATTACTAGTAAAACTATTAAATTTAGCTTGTTTTATCAAATATTAAAGGAGCTGGTTTAATACGCTTAAGTATGCATTCATTGGCACGCCTGAGCATTGTTCTGATGAGACGGTTGATATCATGTTAGAAGTTACTACAACTTCGTGAGTAAGATTTGCTAAAGTCTGTGTAGGATGTTGCAAATTCAAGAGCCTGCTAGTTACCATCTCCCAGACATGTACAATTGAAGACAGATCAGCTAATCTTATTAGCTAAGGTTAACGGGTAATGTGATGTTAATCCATGAAGACTAACAATTCTCTGGCAATATGGAAATATGCGCTCTGGCATTGCCTTGCTAAAAAATCGCGTTTTAGATAGTGCTAAGGTATGAAATAGAAGATACAAGGGAAGAGAAACCCAGGACGACGCAAAATGTCCTGGCTAAGAAATTTGAGAGAGTGGTTCGGCTGCAGCTCATTAGAATTATTCAGAAATGCGGCCAACAAAGTTAAAATAGCGATGATGATTTCCAACCTCCGCTAGGAGAAGGAACCCGAAGAAGAAGGTATGAAATAAGATGAGGCACTACTACTTTCTAGATATATATAGCGTCGGCGTCGGGTTGCCATATAGCCTGTGCTGAAAATTAGTGGTGATCTAATATCATAAGCAATAGGACCTCATTCCATAACTCTCAGGGTGTGTGAATGTGATATTTATTAAATTGTGGAAAAGTGAGTCCCATAGAATTATTTATCCAACATAACAGCACAGCAAACAGTTACGCCGATGTTTAGCTGTGGGAGGTAGCACTTAATATGGACGATAAGAAAAAAGGTAAAACCATCGTATTCAGCTACCTAGTGTACGCATTCCAACCATCCATCCATGCTCTTTAAACAATTGATTTACGATAGTTCGAGAACTACTGAGTCTGTCACTTAGAGTTAGAAGTTTTAATCGACGATCTAGTCGCTCTATGGTATCTTTGCGACGTGCAGAACCTTCGTTCTCATTTAGACTGCCGTATACTGCAAAAGGATCAGTTGGTCTTTACCAACCGACAATTCGACAATTCACAAAGTCACTTCGCTGGGATACTCGGCGAATTCTACGCACTCCAGGTATTTTGAGCAATAAAATAAAGTGCTTTTCAATCAGATTCATAAAATTTAAATTTTAACCGACAAAGGATATTTAAGAAAACTAAATGCTTCTTTATTAACGTCCTGTACCTGCTTTCTTGTAGCTTGTCTAAGTATAATGTCATGTTTATATGGTATTACATTACATGGGGAAATTTTTAAATAACTTATCTTTGAATTTTTGAATTTCACTCCGGAAATATCATAAAATAACATTTAACAAACATTATTTTATGTTTTTATAACTTGTTTTAAAATCAATCGAGAAGGACTAAATCGCCAATTTTGATTTTGACATATTTGAAATCCCAGGAAGGTCTAATAGGAAAGAAAATATGATGAAATTATAAGGAAAATAGTATAAAAAATGTTTTATACGATGAACAGTTGCGGTCACGGAATAGTTTACACCTTACTTTTTATATTGTAATACTGTAAAATTGCAGTGTCGTACGGATTTGATAAATGTCAAAGTCAAAAAATTTCAAAACGTCAATGCTTTCGCGAGTGTTCAACAATAAAATAAAAGTATATTAAACTCTTCCAAAATGGTTAGAATACATTTGAATTATGCGCAAAAAGCAAGAGCAATTGCCAAACTCGAAGAAGGTTGGTCACTAAGGCAAGTTGCTGCTGATTTGAACGTGAGTCATATGTGCATATGGAAGATTAAACAAAGATGGGATAATTTTCACTCTATAGCACGGTTGGGCGGTTCAGGAGGGCAGAAGATTTCCACAGATCAACAGGATAAGATGTTAGTAGATTATTTGAGAGAATCTCCTTTTGTCACAGCTCAAAAGGCAAGAGAAGAGGCAGCGTTTCCAGACAGTATTCGCACTGCACGTCGAAGAATTAAAGCAAGTGGACTGCTAAATTGTGTAGCTGCACGGAAACCTTTTTTGACTGAGGATCACAAGAGGAGACGAGTTGAATTTTGTAATGAATTTATAAACCGCGATGAGAATTTTTGGTCTAGGGTTGTATTTTCCGATGAAAAAGTATTTCAGTCGTATAATAATGGTCGAATAAGAGTTTATAGGCCGAGAAATCATAGGTATGATGAACAGTATACGCATCATTTAAGAAATAGTGGAGGATTCTCTGTCAACGTATGGGGATGGATAAGTGCCGAAGGCCCGGGCGTTTGTTATCATGTAGAGGAGAAGTTAACAGGATTATATTACAAACATATTATTGAGCACACAATGTTGCCATCGGTGATCCAGAGATTCCCAAACAACGACTTTATCTTCCAACATGACAATTGCCCGATGCATACGAGTAGAATTGTTCGAGAATGGCTAGAAGAAACTGATGTTAATGTTCTTCCGTGGCCTTCCCGTAGTGCAGACTTTAACCCCGTCGAAAATGTGTGGGCAGAGTTAACAAAGAAACTAAATGAAAGAAACCTTAGATCACGGAATAGAATTGAATTATGGGAAGCAATTGAGCAGGCATGGGAAGAGCTTGTTAACTATAACATGAGGGGATTGGTGCTATCTATGAACAGAAGACTGCAAAATTGTATTGACAAGAATGGGGCTTCCACCTAATATTAATTATTATTTATCATTGTTTATCGTTATTTAATATAAAATAGATTTAAAATAAAATGCATATTAAAAAAAAAGACTTCTTTATTTTCGTTATTAAGATCATAATCCATTTTATTCAAAAAACTGTTTTCTATATTTTTCATTTTGTAAAATATTTTGATATTTTAATTTTAATCTACCTATTCTAGCTAGTACACCACTGGCAACGTCACTTTGAGGTAAAAGGTGCGTTTAAACGAAGTAAAAATTTAAAAAATGGGCTCCTAGATACGTGAACCTGTAAACTATTCCGTGACCGCAACTGTACCTCTACAGTAGATCATTTAAACATAAAGTGACATTTAGCAAACTTCAAAATGACGTCTATTTACTTTTTAAAAACGATCAACTTTGGGAAAAAATTGTAATATTTTTTTTTAGAATGATTCAAAGACCATAAAAATTTAGCCAGTCGAAAAAGTTATTAGCAAAAATTTGTTCAAAAAAATGTTTAAGTAAATTAGAACCGCTTTTTGTATAAGTGACATCTTAAAAGTCATTCTGGGGTGGCTCACGAAAGTGATTGTGCAGTATATTTCATGAGAATATTTTTCGATCGGAACTGAGCTATTCGCATTGTCTACATACCCAAATCATGGACACAGGAAAATAAATGTATAGACAAAGTCACAAATTAGTGCACTATTCCCAATGAAAAAATACAAGAGATCACCTAAAAAACATAAAAAAACTAAATCGATTTATTTACAGAATTAGTAACAGTCATATAAATTAAAAGACAAGATAGATTAAATTTGATTTCACGTATAATCCTTCTGAATATTTGCTTATACGTATTTCATTCTAGCTGGCATCATTAGAGCGTCTGGTACAGAAGCTCTTAACGAGAAAACAAACCTTTGCCGTCAAAAAAAGCAACAATACAATGTCTTCAATATAGACGCTATAGCGACATCTGATAATAGATTTTTGCTTTAATCTGTGCCTTTAAGTATTTGATTCTCGACTATAAACATCGATACGGACTAGGTGAAAGTTTATTCGCTCCGTGCGTGACTGATGCGACACCTACCGCCTTCATCTGACAATTTTGGAGTCCCAATTTTCAGGTTAAATATATCACAGATGTTTGACATTGTT